TTGGTAAAAAAAAAATTTAACGTTATGTGAGTAATATTTTGCATATCACGGAAGCAATTTTCTAGTAGAGTACTTGGATAACATAACCAATTTTTATATTCTTTTGATTTTATAAATGTATTATGTAGGTTCTCTCCATTTTTATCTTGCGATATATTGCTGCATGCATTGCATTTCGCCTTTTTCAAATATTTTCTTAATGCCCATCCACATACATAGTTAATTTGACCGGCGTCACTATTCTCATTAGAGCCCATTATAATATTTTAATTAATAAATATTTCACTATCATTTTTGGGAATATCAGTAGTTTTTTAAATTTCCTGTTAAAAAAATTATGTTTTGTAGACATTGATTATAATCTGCCTCACAGTTTATTTTGAGTGAATGAGGCGTGTTGAAATATTTAATAGCAATGATTTATACGCTCCTTCAAATCCAACAGTGTTAGGAGCTATGTTTCTAACTCCTGATATTCCCAAAGAAGTTTTCAATGGGGTCTTGATTTAAATTGTTAGTCAACAAACAATCTAACCTATAGTTTTGATACAAAACCTTCCAAATTGCCTCCATGTTTTCAATTGTTTTTATAAAATTTTTGGATGAAGGAATTACACTTTCTGTTGCAATGACTTGACCAGCAATATTTTGTTTTTTTTTTATGAATTTTACACTATGCAAAATTTTTTTTGCTCTAGTCCATAACTCGTGATGGGTGAGATTCGCTTTACCGGACCTTTATAAATTTTTCCATTGGGAATGTTTAGCGTGTTGATATTTAGACTGTCAAATAAATCATCAATTAATAATGTTATGTTCACCAGTTGACGACACTCTTCTTGCAAATCTCCTCGCGCCGTAAGGTGCTCAGCAACTACAGCAATACTGTGACTGAATACTTGTGTTGCTAATTTCACTCTCATTTTATTATTTTTTTCAGGATCAATGTGTTCCTCCGTTAGTTTATTTAATAATCTTAATTCTCCATAGCATTTATCTGCCGCATAAACTTTTTGGTAATATAATCAGCAACTGTAAAATAAAAAAGAAACCTTTTGTGTACTGTTTATAATAAAGGTCCATGATAATAGTTTTTAAAATTATTTACTATAACTGTTTAAATTAAATACCTTGTGGAGGTGCGTTCTTTTAGATCTGCTACACGAACTATAGTTATGTTCCCTGATGATATCTTCTACATAAGGGATGTACTGAGAGTCAACTGAAAATTAAAGATATATCTATATTATTAATACCAAAAAATAATCTATGTCTTCAACTAGTATTTGAGAACGAAATCAATTATTTATATCAGAAATGATTGTAGTATCTACTTCTATTTAGTAATTTTTTCTCGCTCTTACATTTTCCACAGAAAACTACTGACTATATATATGTTTAGTAGTATAACTTGTAGTCTTTAGTTGTATAACTATATAATCTTCATAAATTAGATTATAATCTTTGTATCAATTTTTAGAGATTATAATAAAATTGTAATTAAACATTGCTAAATATATAAAATAATGGTTATATTAATTACTTGGTATACAAATTAAACTTAATGAGAAAAAAAACTTTATTTGAGTGATATATAGAATGATGGTTATATTAACAAAAATTAAAACAGGTGAACTTTATATAAGTGCTAAATGAATTGTTTTTAGGCGTCTTGAATATTATATATGTTGATATAAAAAAAAATGAATATTACTTAATACAAGTCTTATTTTAAACAAAATTCGACCTCCGTAGGCGAGTGGTTCGCACGCCGGTTTCAAGGTGTCGCCATCTCTGAGGTCCCGGGTTCGTTTCCCGGTCGGGTCAATGTAGAAAATGAACTTTTCTTTATTGACTCGGGTCTGGGTGTTGTGGTACCTTCGTTGTCTCAGATACTCCATAATACGGGGGCTTTAGCTACTCATCTTGGAATCTGAGCAATGTATGTGATGTTGTTAAATATTTATTTATTTATATATTCATTCACCTCCACCTAATATAAGATCACACTGAGCTAATTAAATGTCTTGTTAATGTCAGTCAGTAAATGTCAATAGTCATTATTTCAAATGTACATTTTATAATAATAAAATTATTGATATGAAATTATATAAAAAGTTATTATAATAATTAAGCATACCCAGTATACTAGTGTGTATTAATAATTATTTATTTACCTGAAGAGGACATTTGGGAAGATTGCAATTTATCATGAGATTGGTTGCCATACTTTGAAGAATACAAACTTTCCTCTGTCATTGTTGGAAACAAACCTGTAATAAAAATGAACAATTATGTAATTTCTTCCATAAAAAATAGATTATTAAAATCTTTATTTTAAATTTAATTCAAATTTATAGTTCCAAGTTAAATTTACCTGAACTTCTTGACAATTGACTATTTTCTTCATTAGGAGCAACTGGGAGCTCCTCAAGAATTCCCCTTGAACCTGGAAATTATAAAAATACTCTTTTGAGTTTTACTAAAACAATAACTATACATGTCACTGGTTGGTTGGATATGTAATGGTTATTGGTGGTAATTTTTATATACAGTAGAAATTAGAAAACATCATGTGATTGATCAATATATTAAATTGAATCATTACAAATCTAGCTGTGCTCGTGACTTTTAGGAAAGTGTATGTATAGAATTTAGTAATATTATAATTTGTCCTGTTACTATTACTAAGCCAACATAGATTTGGAGTTTTTTTTTTGTTTTGTTTATTTGGGTCAACAAACAGTTTTACAATAGCATTCCAATTTATGATATGATGTACACAGTTTTATAATTGCAAAAGCAACGTTAACTACAAGTTACTATGAGTAGTTGAAAGTTGCATATGTTATCAGCTTAAACACTTACTAAGAAAAATGAACACTACACAAACAAAACTGTTACAAATATGATAATATATATTACTTTATGATGATATGGCATTGCAATTTAGTTCACTTATTCTTTCTTAACTAACTCTTTGAATTTTGTTTTGTTTAAATTGAATATGTCGATTTCATGTAAACCATTGTTATAAAATTTTGCTACTCAATGCACTGGAGATCTCTTGCCTGTATTTGTACAAAATTTAAATATAGCAAACAGTTAGTGTTTACGCAGGGAGCTCGTTTGCGCCCGCTTAGGTACTAAATAATTAATTTTATTTATTAATTCAGTACAGTCATACTCACTGTGACATATATTAAATAAGCCAACCGCTTTCAGGTATTGCCGTCTAGATTTTAAATCTGTCAATCGGGGCCATACTAATTAATGTTCACATGACACACAAGCACATCTGCACCTATATGGAGTTTGTCAAAACATAGCCCATCCTTTTTTTATTCCCATTGTTTCATAATGTTTGTTTCATTACACATTTTTATGTTATTCCCAAGATTTGTGCCTAAGCGATTTCTAAACTTTTACTGTATTTCAAAATAAACATACATACCCTGTTAATGCACTGATGGGACAGCCAAAGCATTCAAACGTCTAAAACGACTTGTATGTCTGTCTATAAAATGAATATCGCAAACTTTTTCTTTTTGTTTCCAGTTTTCCACCAACCAATGTAACCCAAGCTTTGAAACGTTCAGGAAACTTCAGGGTTTGGGAATGAGTGCATAGTGACATCTGAAACAGGAAGTCATGGCAATATTATAGACATTAAAGATATAGTCATTATATAGTTATTATCTCATTCTTTCCACTTTATACGGTGTGTTATAGAAACTTATTGGTTATTTTTGTTTCGTTAGTGTGTTGATAAGAAAATAAGAAGGAAAATAAATAATTGATAACCTCATTGTTAGAGTCTAGATTTTAAATCTGTCAATCGGGGCCATACTAATTAATGTTCACATGACACACAAGCACATCTGCACCTATATGGAGTTTGTCAAAACATAGCCCATCCTTTTTTTATTCCCATTGTTTCATAATGTTTGTTTCATTACACATTTTTATGTTATTCCTAAGATTCGTGCCTAAAGCGATTTCTAAACTTTTACTGTATTTCAAAATAAACATACATACCCTGTTAATTCTCTGATGGGACATCCAAAGCATTCAAACGTCTAAAACGACTTGTATGTCTGTGTATAAAATGAATATCGCAAACTTTTTCCTTCTGTTTCCAGTTTTCCACCAACCAATGTAACCCAAGCTTTGAAACGTTCAGGAAACTTCAGGTTTTGGGAATGAGTGCATAGTGACATCTGAAACAGGAAGTCATGGCAATATTATAGACATTAAAGATATAGCCATTATATAGTTATTATCTCATTCTTTCCACTTTATACGGTGTGTTATAGAAACTTATTGGTTATTTTTGTTTCGTTAGTGTGTTGATAAGAAGGAAAATAAATAATTGATAACCTCATTGTTAAAGTCAATTAAAAACATGATGTGAGTTAGCTGCATTGAAGTTTAATAGATTATTATTATGCTTACCACTAGGTGTCGTCCGAAAGAACAAAGTCGGGGCATTACGACAATAATAATCTTAACACAAAACAAACTTAAATAAGCGTCCTGTCGCGATAAAGTTCTGAAACTACAGAAATCCACAGCACAAATACACGGTAAGGTGGAGAAGAATAAATCTCAACTCGACACACTTAACTTGAGGTTTCGTAGCCACTAGAACAAAATGACGAAGACAAAATACAAATATATGAACGCAAGAGCACAGTAATCGCCATATTGATTTTGACAAATTGATCCAAATAAGTAAAAAATTTCGTCTTTTCGAGAGTGCGTGTAGCGTCATCTAGTATTGTTTATGCACACCTGGTAGTACTCATAATAGTTTTGGGGAAATAAAATGGATGTCGCTACTATCTTTGCAAAATTATGGCTACTAAGGGAGTGTCCCCCCCGTGAATTGTGTAAATGCAAATAGGCCATGAATTAAAAAAGAAGAAGAAGAAAGATTATGTTATGGTATAAGAACTAGAATTAAATTCTTATTTAATAAATGTTCCATAATTTCTTATACTTGTTTATGTTTAACGCAAATAGAAATATGATATTAACATTTCCATCAATTCATTTATAAAATGACTTTTATTAGATTTGTCGGCAAAACGTGCGGTTTTTTTGGCTATGTTTTGCAATATGCGTGTGTTACGCACTGTACTTTTGAATACATCGGTGATTTCGTCATGGTAAGTCTTATTACGTTGATAGCGTAATCAGGGCCTGACCAAGAATAATATTCGCCAGTTTTTACATTACAGTTTTTACCTATATTTTATCTAGGCCAAAGCCAGGCAATAAGTGCCTGGCTTTGGCCTAGATAAAATATAAATTATAGTATTTTCTTTAAAAAAACGTTTAAAATTTAGTGTTCCACTCATTTATTGTAGTATGTATTACTCATTTGTTGTAACATGTTCGTGGTAAGTCATATTAATTAATAAATGTTTAATGCTTGCAGTGTTCAGGACCTTCAATGGAACCAACTTTAGAATCCAACAACATACTAATCACAGAACACATAACTCCAAGACTGCAACGTCTGCGACGAGGAGACATTGTTATAGCTAAGAGTCCGAGTAACCCTAGACAAAATATTTGTAAAAGGATAGTAGGATTACCTGGGGACCGTGTTAAAGCCCATTTCCCACGTCGTAGTCAAATAGTTCCTAAAGGACATGTATGGTTAGAAGGTGATAATTCCAGTAATTCAGCTGATTCTCGTATATATGGGCCAGTTCCACAGGGTCTAATCAGAAGTAGGGTCATTTGCCGTGTCTGGCCACTAGATAAAATCACTTCTTTAACTGATTTTTAGATTGTGTGAGTTGTTTTTCTATTTCACACAATATGGTGCCAAAGACTACAAGTATAGAGTACAAAGTCATTGTTATAATGTATTCCAATATTTGATGTTAAAAACATGACACAACACAATGTTAAAATAACTTAATTAATATTGATTTATTTATGAAAAATTCAAGCTATTTTTTGTAAGGGTTGGTACAAAAAAGGAGAATCACTGTGAGTATTAAATAAATATTTTAATTTTGATTTATTTCTATAGTCTTGATTGAGTGAGCTTCCAACACCAGTTGAATGAATCTAGTGGTACCAATATCTAAGCGAATATTCATATCTCTGTTGTTCCTGTAAATAATAATATTATTATTATGTAATTATTACATATTGAAAAAAATAATAATTCATGTTATTATAAGTATTAATCAACTTCCAAAATTTATAAAATGTAATACAACTATGTTACATTGAGACGATTTGTACAAAAAATAATTTGATAGGTAGGTACTGTGACATGGTTACAACCATTTGTACAGTTTGATATTTGTTATATTCAGAAACTGTAAATGAGTATAGTAAATAAAGTTGTTATTTATAGCATTTTCCATGAGCTTCAATTACCAAAACCACATTTTCCTCTAGAGTACAGATAACGGTATTTAACAAGATATTACATACTTATTTAAGATAATAAGTCTTTTTGTACTCTAATTATATTTAAGGAATATCCACATTAAGGAATATATGTATTACCTACATACTTTATACCAAATGCCAAAAAAATAATTGTGTTGCAATGCTTACACACTACGGTTCAATACCAACCTATTATGAAGTATTACGACGATGTTACCCGCTGGCGTTAAAAAGGCAATATTTTCTATAGTCATTATACTTCTTCTGGACGCTAAAATACGAATAGACCCTCTAGGTACAAATTTGGAGAAGTGACCCATTGCATAGAACATAGGGTTCTTTATAAACTCGTCCTTTTCAGGGAATACTAGAATTGGTGCATCGACGAAGTTGTTAGCCCAATTAGGTCCACCTGTCTCACTTAGACAGAGGTTCCAGTCTATCCACCCGACCACAAAATTGTTTAGATCCTGGAAAAAAATACATGAACGTTTCAGGAAGAATGTTTAATTTAATGACCTTAATCCCATAAAAAGAAGTACGAATTATAGAGATTTCAGGCTCGCTATATTGCTAGATTGTAAAATAAAACGACTGAAGTTGTCCATGGAAGCAGACATTATTAAGAACGCCATGGATTAGTGTGATCAGTCTGTAACAAGAATTCGTATGTTTCCACAGATTGTAATATTTATCTTACTTGTAATATGCTGGTAATGTAATTACGAGCTCGACGCCATGCTCCGATTTCAACTCTCATTGCATCCCATGGCATTGCTCCTGAAAAGATGAAATCGATATTGCTTGCTTTATTTTAATATTGATATATTAATTTTATTAGGTTCGCCATTTTGGCTGTTAGGACTGCTTTACTAAATATCAACAGATTTAAGTTTAAATTTATTTTAAAGTAACCTGACGTCTCAGACCTCGGGGCCCGATCTTGAGGCGACCTCAGATCTACCGTCTAACTCTTCTAGCTGTAACTCTAGCCACTAAGTATGGGATACGACATCTTAGCGATAGTATAGCGCTATTCGTTTGTTGGTCCTATGTGGATTTTTGTGGTGCTAAGGGTACCTACAGGTCTTTCTGATGAACGTCTCGTCGAGTTGTATATATTAGATGATCTTAAGTAAATTATATATAATAAGTAAGTTTAGTTAAATGAATGTGGTTAAAGCTTAGAATTAAATGATACAACCTATGGGTGTATTTATTCCCCTAGTATTAAGATAATTTAAGTTATAGCAAATTAAATGATTGTGAGGGGTTGGATTTTATTTGCTATGGTTTTCTATAAGGTATTGCCTCGCTAAGGAGGCTTAGGTAGCTCTCTGTATGGTATTGCTTCACTCAAGGAGGCTTATGTGGGTTTTCTATATGGTATTGCCCGAGTCAAGGGAGCTTATGTGGGTTTCTATACGGTATTGCCTCGATACAGGGGTGTTTAAAATGTAAAATGTTCGACTACCTTCATGTTAACAATAAAAATGTATCGGAGCGAGACGGCGCTGGTTTACGCGGGATCTTCCGTCTCGCTCTGACCACATAAATACATCGGGCAAGAGCGCGGCGCGCCTTAGAATGATTATGAGCTTCGACGGCGCGGTCTTGCCCGACACGATACGAGTTATGTAACAATAATATGATGATGTTTTAACGTGATTTATGATGTAAATGTAGAAACAGTAAAACGTAGTAATTAACAATAATGTGATACATAGATGTTAAGGGTGGGGGATGGCTTCGCAAAGTAGGGGTTAGATGTGTAATAGGCTAACCAACTGATAATATACGGAGCTAAGTGCGAGCCACCCCAACAAATGTAAGACGGGTCGATTTGAGCGAAATTTGTAAGCTCTCCGGCCCTCAAGATTTAAGAATAAAGAAGAAGTGAAAACCATCGAAGGAAGTTTCAATTATACAGTCCAAGCATCGGCTAGCTACGTGTAAATCTGTTCAAGATCCAGGAAGATCCGCAACAGAAGTTTGGTCCATCGCTCGCCGGATATATGAAGTCAGAAGACTGAAAAACGTTCCAGACCTACGGACATAGCCGAAGAAAACACTCGTGTTCTGTCACGAGTATACGCGGGTGGACCGCGGGCTCATTGCGTACACCACCTAACGGTGCCAAACGGTGTGCGTAGTGAGTTAACGCCGTTCAAGGCGGACGAGGTGGTCAGTTCGTTTCCGAACTACACGTCGTACTACGCAAGGCATTGTAACCATACGGACGAAGTGGTCAGTTCGTTTCCGAACTACACGTCGTATTTCGCGGGGCTGTAAACATACGGATTAGATTGATAGTTCGTTTCCGAACTACGTCTTACTACGCCAGTAAGGTTTGGCGTGGAGCGGGGGTCCTTTCTGTAGGCACTGCCAATGCTATCGGACATTCCAGCCGATACGCGAGCGCCCCGTTGTCCGCGACCGACTCTCTGCTGGGTAGTTCCTACCTTCCTATCCTGCACGATATCCATCCTCAAGCGGGCTCCCCAGTTAGCGTACCCGTTTGAGATTGATAGGAGTAGGGGCTGCAAGTAAGAAGAGGACATGCCAACGACGAGACGTCAAAGCCAAGCCGAACAAAGCAAAATGGACAGCGCTAAAGGAAAAGTGTTCGACAGGCCACCTGCGTCACCCTCGTGCCTTGCCTCATCCGTGATGCCGTCGGAAGCGCCACAAGAAACCGTAGAAGGTACCGCCGCACAGAGAATTGAACATCGCGACGATATGCCTAGATCGAGGCCACCAACGGTATGTTCGAATTCGAGCGTTGCTGCGCGCGTTAAGCAGGCGCAACTCGCAGCGGAAGAGCGACTCGCGGAAATACGACGCCGCGAGTTGCATATTGAATCGGAGCTAGTAAAAAAGAGATTAGCATACGAAATAGCTACTATACAAGAGGAAACCGATCCGGAGAGCTTACCCGCCGTCGATAATGTCCAACGAGTGGACGACTGGTTCCAGAATCTACGGCGTCAGAACGTGTTAGAGCCCATGTCGGAAAGGGACGGCGATACGGCCGCGCAACAGAAAAGGAAGGATGCGCGAGCCGTAGAGGTAGATAAACACCGCCACATTACGGACTCTCCCTTCAAGGAACAGAGTGATGATAAACTAATCGATGAGACAGCAAACCGAGATCGGCAAACGATTAAGGAAGACTCGGGGATGGATAAGCTCGCTCATACGTTAGAAAGAATGATGAATAGGCGTCCGGTGCCGCGTCAGGCTCAAGAATTACCAATTTTTAGCGGCGCACCGGCCGAATGGCTGCCGTTTAAAGCAGCAATGCGCGACACCACAGAACAGTGGCACTTCACTAAATCTGAAAATATAGCCAGATTAAGGAGTTGTTTGAAAGGCGAAGCGAAAGAAGCGGTATCAGCGCTTTTGTATACCGTCGCCGATCCGGAGATAATCATGAAGTCTTTGGAACAATGTTTCGGTCGACCCGAAGTGATTATTTATCGAGCGCTAGAAGACATAAAGAATTTACCGCGACCGGGTACGACGGCAAGCGAACTCAACACGTTCGCAATTAAGCTTCAAAATATAGTATGCATATTGGATAATGTCGACGACCGAGGGTATTTGAGAAATCCATTACTAGTGAGAGAAGTGGTGGAAAAGCTTAGCCCCCACCTCCGATCGCGTTGGTGCGACTATGCATATGAATCCGGAAGCTACGCGGAGCCAGAGATCGTAACATTGTCTCGTTTTTTGATGCGCGAAGCAAATAGATCACTGCAATTCGCATATGTGACTAACAACAACACCGCTGCTATGAAAAAGAATATCGCCGAGACAAAGGGACAAATGAAACCGCGATACGATAGAAAGAGAAGCACTGCGGTGTACGCGACCAACGATGACGTCACCTCCAAAGTATGTCTATGTTGCGGGGGACGTCATGAAGTACCACAATGTGAACGGTTTAAAGCTATGAAGATACCTGAAAGATGGAAATGGGTTAAGAAATCCCAAATTTGTTTTCGATGTGTAAACAGAAAACATCGTCGGATACACTGTGACAGCCCGTTATGTGGTGTAGATGGCTGCCGCCACCCACATCATGCGATGTTACACGAGAACCGTGCCCAAACGAGCGAAGCGAGACCCACAAAGGAAGCCGAGATGGTTGCATCAGCTACTCACTCAACAGAAAGATCCAAAGTATTGTTGAAAGTGTGTCCCGTCACCATAAAAGGACCGAAAGGCTCGGTCAACACTTACGCCTTACTCGACGAAGGGTCAACTATAACAGTGATAGATGAAGATCTCGCCAATTACGTGGGTGCCGACGGGCCGACAAATAACTTAAGCATACGAAGCATTAACACGCAGAATGTATACGAAACGAAACAAGTAAATCTTCAATTGATCGCGGGGAATAAGAAGCGATTCAATATTAAAGCTAAAACTATGAAAAATCTTACGTTGAACCGACAAAAGATAAATAAAGAAACGTTAAACTATAAGCATATGCGCCACTTACGTAGCAAAGATCTATGTTATGGGTATGCCGAACCGCGCATACTGATCGGAGCGGACAACTGGCATCTTATAGTAACTCGAAGACTGCTCGAGGGTAAGCGTGACGAACCGATCGCTTCCCTCACGATGCTTGGATGGGTCATCCATGGGTCAGCGCCGCGATCGGGGATGCTGAAAGAGAGCGACTCGGTGTTATACGTAGACACACCGCGATGCGCGACGGTCTCGCGCCCTCTCGACCGGGATGATGCGCTTCACGAAAAAGTAAAGGAGCACTTCGAAATCGATTCCATAGGAATAAATAGAAAGGAGCGAGTCAGTCCGAACGACGCTCGCGCAATGGAATTGTTTAATACAACGACAAAACGAATTAACGGACGATATGAGGTGCGACTGCCGTGGAAACGCAATGATGTGAAGATGCCACCGAGTTACGAGTCCGCCGTGAAGAGATTGAAAACCATTGAAAAGAAGATGGATAAGTCAAGCTCTTTCAGAGACACATATAAAGCGCAGATAAAGAATCTGATCGATAAAAAGTACGCGGAGGAATGCAATGGGGAGGAACTACAGAGCCAACGATTATGGTATCTGCCCCACTTCGCGGTGTCGAACCCGAATAAGCCAGGAAAGTTACGAGTAGTGTTTGATGCGGCTGCCGTAACGAATGGAGTATGTCTCAATGACGAACTATTGGAGGGTCCCGACTTGCTTATAGATCTAGCGGGCCTCCTTTTACGGTTTAGAGAACGAGCGTTCGCCGTCACGGCCGATATCAAGGAGATGTTTCTTCAGATAAAGATTCACAAGGAGGATCAGCCGGCGCAGTTGTTCCTGTGGAGAGGCGACGAGCGAACCACGCCGCCGAAAAGATACAAGATGACGTCTATGATATTCGGAGCTAAGAGTTCTCCTTTCCTGGCTCACAGTGTACGGAACGCGAATGCCTACGCGCATGCTACAGAGTATCCACGCGCATATGAAGCAATCACTAAGAGTCACTACATGGATGACTATGTCGACTGCTACGACACAGAACAAGAGGCGATGGATGCGCTAAAGGAAGTAGCCACTGTGCACGCGCAGGCGGGATTCACGCTAACCGGTTATAACTCAAACGGACCGGAAGTGTTGCGAGAGCTGCCAGTAGAGAGCCGTGCCACATCGCCTACGCAACTCGCCATAAGCGAGGACCGATGGGGTAGGACACTAGGATTGCTGTGGGATGCGTCTACGGACGAACTGGCATTTAACACGGATATGGTGCGCGTGAATACGGACATAAAAGAAATGAAACGAGCCCCTACAAAAAGGGAGGCATTAAGCGCAGTAATGTCTATATTTGATCCGCTCGGATTATTAAGTTATTACACGATACGGGCGAAGATTATATTACAAAACATATGGCGATTGAAAATAGACTGGGACGAGGCCTTACCTGATGAGGAAGCCGGCGAATTTCACGAATGGCTTAATGGAATGAGTACCATTAGTAGGCTGCGTCTACCCCGGCGTCTCTATACGGGGGGAGTGACGGGAAAGCAGCTACATGTGTTTTGTGACGCGAGCGAGGTCGCTTATAGCGTCGCAGTCTATTGGAGAATCGAGAATGACGGGGCGGTGCAAGTGACGCTGGCCGCCGCAAAGGCCAGAGTGGCACCGATAAAAAGACAAAGTATTCCTAGAATGGAATTGCAGGCAGCGTTAATCGCTACGCGGTTGGCGAATACCGTAGCGAGAGAACAAAGATGGCATGCAGAGCGCGTCGTGTATTGGACCGATTCAAAAACCGTCCTGCAGTGGATAAACAATGATACAGCGCGTTTTACACCGTATGTGGCTCATCGTGTAACCGAAATAACTGAAACCACGACGGCGTCACAGTGGAGATGGGTGCCTACTGCACATAACGTCGCAGATGACGCAACGCGAGGCGAAGCTTACGTAAAATCGAATACGGATAGGTGGTTCACTGGACCGACCTTTTTATACGCTAGCGAATTAGAGTGGCCTACCTGTGACGTCACGAACAATACGGATGAAAATGAATGTTACGCGATAGCACAACTGCCGCAGGAAAACTATAGCATTCCCGATGTGAATCGCTTTTCCTCTTACGAACGCTACGTGAGAACGATGGCAAGAGTTTTAATGTTCGTCGATAGATGTCGCCACCGTGGTACTGATTTAACCGCGGAACACATAAACAAAGCAGAGGAGTTACTCTTGAAAAACGCACAGAAAGAAAGCTTCACAAATGATATTAACCGTCTTAAAGCTGGCCAAAAGTTGTCTAACAGCAGTCGATTACGAAAACTGGATCCATTCATAGACGAGAACGGCGTATTACGAGCGAGCGGGAGAATAAGGGCAGCGGGTGTGTCTGCCCCCGCTACTACGCCAGTAATAATGGACGGCAGCCACCCGTATGCGCGGCTGTTGCTTCAACGCGAACACCGTCGCGCCCATCACGCGAACAATGAACGCGTCGTGAATGATGTTAGACAACGATATTGGATATTACGATTAAGACCAGCGGTGCGTGCAGTGGCTTATAAATGTGCTTTCTGTCGCGTGAGAAAAGCGATACCTACGAAACCAGTACACGGTGATCTACCTCAAGTAAGATTGGAAGCCTTTATCAGACCATTCAGTAATTGTGGCGTCGATTATTTTGGCCCTATGACGGTGACAATAGGAAGACGACATGAGAAAAGGTGGGGGGCGCTATTCACATGCCTTTCAACCCGCGCCGTGCACATCGAAGTGGTGGGGAGCCTGTCTACCGACTCCGCGATTATGGCACTACGACGAATGGCGGCGAGGAGGGGGTGGCCTAAGACAATGTATAGTGACAATGCGACGAATTTTAGAGGTGCCGACCGTGAGCTACGGGACGCATACAATGAATGGGAGCCGGCACTACGAGACTATGCGCTTACACAACGAGTCGACTGGCGTTACATATCACCAGGCGCGCCACACCAAGGAGGCGCATGGGAACGTCTCGTTAGAAGTGTCAAGAATGCATTACGAGTGACGCTACATGAAAAATCGCCGCGAGAGGAAGTCTTAGTCACACTACTGACCGAGGTCGAATACACTTTAAACGCTCGACCTCTGACACACGTACCAGTCAATATTGAAGATCCAGAAGCACTCACGCCCAATCACTTTTTATTGGGTAGTTCGAACGGCCTGCCCTTTACCGGGCCGTGCGAGCGCGCCGACAAGCGAACCTGGAGGGCAGCACAAGCGCTGGCCGATGAATATTGGCGTCGATGGCTACGAGAGTACCTTCCCATGCTCATACCACGTGGAGGTGCCCGCGACGCGGGGCGTCGTGCGATACAAGAGGGTGACTTGGTTATAGTTGTGGATCACACACTACCCCGCAACATATGGCCAAGGGGCGTCGTCACCAAAGTATATCCTGGACCAGACAACGAGATACGCAATGTGGAGGTGAAGACGAAGGGCGGCACGTTCCGGCGACCGGCGACGAGACTGGCGGTCCTGACGATGGAGTGATGGGGCTACGCGGATGCTGCGCCGGGGGGAGCCCTGTTACGGACGCACGTCTCGTCGAGTTGTATATATTAGATGATCTTAAGTAAATTATATATAATAAGTAAGTTTAGTTAAATGAATGTGGTTAAAGTTTAGAATTAAATGATACAACCTATGGGTGTATTTATTCCCCTAGTATTAAGATAATTTAAGTTATAGCAAATTAAATGATTGTGAGGGGTTGGATTTTATTTGCTATGGTTTTCTATAAGGTATTGCCTCGCTAAGGAGGCTTAGGTAGCTCTCTGTATGGTATTGCTTCACTCAAGGAGGCTTATGTGGGTTTTCTATATGGTATTGCCCGAGTCAAGGGAGCTTATGTGGGTTTCTATACGGTATTGCCTCGATACAGGGGTGTTTGAAATGTAAAATGTTCGACTACCTTCATGTTAACAATAAAAATGTATCGGAGCGAGACGGCGCTGGTTTACGCGGGATCTTCCGTCTCGCTCTGACCACATAAATACATCGGGCAAGAGCGCGGCGCGCCTTAGAATGATTATGAGCTTCGACGGCGCGGTCTTGCCCGACACGATACGAGTTATGTTATATAATATGATGATGTTTTAACGTGATTTATGATGTAAATAGAGAAACAGTAAAACGTAGTAATTAAGAATAATGTGACACATAGATGTTAAGAGTGGGGGGTGGCTTCGCCAAGTAGGGGTTAGATGTGTAATAGGCTAACCAACTGATAATGTACGGAGCTAGGTGCGAGCCACCCCAACAAATGTAAGACGGGTCGATTTGAGCGAAATTTGTAAGCTCTCCGGCCCTCAAGATTTAAGAATAAAGAAGAAGTGAAAACCATCGAAGGAAGTTTCAATTATACAGTCCAAGCATCGGCTAGCTACGTGCAAATCTGTTCAAGATCCAGGAAGATCCGCAACAGTTATGGTAACAATCCAAACAGCAATTCGTACTGAGCTCACGTGTAAGCCAAGGTTCCCATTGTGTATTGGTAATGCTAAAACACATTTTATAAACCGTGGAAAGAAAAATAAAATACTTCAGGTTGGTAACCTGAAGTGCGTATTTAGTTCGTTACAAAAAAAGGTGTAATTAGTCCTAAAGTATAAATAGGTATAAACCTACATTTAATAAGTCAAAACATATTTGTAACAAAAAACGGGAGCGACCCGCTATCCTACTAATAACAAATTACATTTATGTTATAATGTATGAAGTAATTAAGATATAATTACAATCAATCGATATAACAATTTTTTTTATTTATTTAATAACTAACTTTTGCACGCGACTTCGTCCGCACGGTATAGTTACTTTGGGCAGCATTTATAAAGCGGATAAAATACCTGAAATAAAGTTTCACGAGTTTATCTTTGACAATGAAGAACTTCCGTACAATAATTTAATTTAATTAATTTTTTTTACGTTTAATTCCTTTGAAAAAATTAATTAAAGTTATGCGGAAGTTTCTTTTATCACAATAAAAAGCAATCCGATCTTAAGTAGGCAAGATTGAATAGGTTCCTTCTGGGCAAGCTTGTCCCACCGTAGATCACATCTACTGTCTTTAGGCTAGATTGAGGTCAAGAGTTAGCCCATTGTAAATAAATAAAAAAAGTCAACTCTGTTTAGTGGGTTAGCCGTGAGAGCGCAACTGACATAATATACAGACCTACTTTCGCATGTTAATTATTAGTATGGAACTTTACTTAGACCTAGATTGCTTGGTCAACTTTTATACTTATAGCTGTTAAAATTGAAATTCAATGTTTAAATTGAAAATATAAAATAAATATGTCGCTATATTGGAATAAAATTACTTTGATGTTCAGCTTCGAAGACGCTACAAAAAATAATTTTATGGTCACCCATCCCGTGACCGACCATTGCGAAAGTTCCTTAACAACAATGGTCGAGGACCGCGGCGCGGATATAGTATGCATAAACTTGTAATAAAATCTTTCTGGCTATACCATTTGTGTCAGGTAGGTCTCGGTATCATTAAAAGGTTTTTTTTTTAAATACTATGACCATTCAAATTGTAAACAATGGTTGCTATCGTATCGTTTCGATACTCCATAAAAACATTCACTCCATTTTCATTCCTTTAGGTGATTGTCTTCGGTATAAAATATAACCTATTATTTTTTGACTCCCTTCGGGATGGAATTTCCTAAAATTCGTTCTTAATACACCTTTACGTAATAAGAGGAATGTACTTTCCAAACTTCAAATCTCTACGACCAGCGGTTTAGGCTGTGCGTTGTTTGTCAGTCAGTATGTCAGGACATCCTTTTTTATACTATATGTATAGATGAAGAAATATTGGGCACCAAAATAGCGGGCACACCAATAAATAAATAAGTAGTGGGTAGTAGTAGTAAAAAAAATTCCAAGCCCACCGTGTAGTGCACAAACGCCTTTACTTTCGATGCGTATTCATTTGCGGAGAGTGAGGGAACATTTTTACCTACAAGCGGAGGTAAACGCTGGCCTTAATGATAAGTTGTACGGGAAAACGACACGGGATACGTTTTATGAGAATTCAAAATGATAGCCTTTAAATTTTCCTAATAATAGATACCATTACAAATATGTACTGCTTGGTGTCCTCTAATATCAGCAAAAGAGGTAGCATGCCAGTAGCAGTAACATTAGTGATTCGTTTTGTTGTTATGTTATTTAATTTTCTTACCTTCACAAGCTTCTGTCGAAAGTAGAATTTTTTTTGGATGGCGATTTTGAATATCGGTCAGAAGTTGCGCAGGCGCAAAATTGCCGTAATAATGTATCGCTATTCCGTCTATGTAATCAAATGCTTTGGGATCTTCTCTCTCCATCTGCAAGTTATTTTATTCAAAAATATTATAATACTTACGTAACGCTTGTTAATATTATAGATTGTGTACTTACACCGATGACATAAAAGTGTAATAAGTAGCGTTGATCGTCCACAGCTAAAATCAGAGTGTCGTTGAATGGGGAATTTCTTATTGTAGGTCCAAGATTGTCTACGATCCACCGTGCCTGTAGGCAATTAACATAGATATATGTGAGTTAAGGCAAGAAGAAAATACGAATAACTGAACTTTGTGATTCAGTCAGAGCTTTAAATCAGTGTAGAAAATGGACTTTTCTATATTGTCTCCAATCTGAGTGTTGTGGCACCTTCGTTGTCTCGGATACTCCATAATACAGGTGCTTTAGCTACTCATCTTGGAATCTGAGCAATTTATGGGATGTAGTCTAATATACCTATATATATTGTATATTGCACGCGTGCTCAAGTCGGGACGGGTAAGATCCATCTTTTTATAATTACCAATTGTGAGGGCATCCACCCCAGGGAGTTGAAAGGCGCAATAGGCACAATTCCGTTGATAGGCTCATTTGTCGTTGTTATTGCCCATATTTTTACATTTACTTTTGCATATTCTTCAAGGAATCTGTAAATAATGGCTTTTAAAATTATATGGCACAAAAATAAGAACTGATCTGACTGAACCATAGCAATCTCTTCCAGGTATTTTATAGTGGAAAATTAACATCATTCATCAAACATACATCATTTATTTTTATACAAATATCATTTATTTTTATTCGTACGCAAATAAAATAATTTTGAATTCTAATCTATATCACAAAAAAAAATATATTTTTAGTAATTTTCAGTTTTGAGTTGAACTAACCGTAAATGGTAGTCAGCATATGCTTGGTAGAATTCTCTCTTTACTTGACCGAAACCGGTGATTCTCTCATTGGTTTTCATCCATATTGGCGGCGACCAGGTACTCGCTATTATTTTCACTTCGTGTTTGGCTGCGTGTAGACTCCTTTTAATCATGGGCAGCTAAATCATAACAATATGTTCAGCAATCATTTTGTGTACTTTGAAAACAATATTATTACATCAAAATTTCTAGTTATTTGAATAATGTATTGTTTGGACGTAGCAGTGGACTTACTTTTAAGAAAAGATCTTCTTCACTGAGTGAAAAGTTAGAAAGAGCCCCGTCATTCCATGGCATCTCATTATAAGTGTAAGGGTGTGTTGAAAAGTCGGCCCCGGCAATGGGTACTCGGATAAAGTTATATTCCAAGCCCTTTGGACCAAAGTAAGTGCTGAAAATGAAAATAAGAATTGTCTAATTTTATGTCACAATACGGTAGTGGACATGTTGAAAAAGTATAGTATTCATAAGTCTTGGTGATTTTTTTTCCTTGGCTGGTGTCTATAAAATGGATTTTTTTGTTCCTTATTATTAGTTAGATATGGACCGACATACAGTAACTAATAATGCGTAACCATCCTCGTCATATGTTCTAGACAACAAAACATGAAGAGAGCTATCCATGCATCCATGAATAGCGATTCGGCTAACTGGATTGACGATAATTTGTGTTTTTGTAAGATTTAAAATAAGGACTTATTAAATAGATATTGAACCTTTTTAAAAAAGTATTTTTTTTTTCGAGTAATAACCCTCTATGATGAGAAATAAGGCGAAAAAAGAGCTTACTTTATTAATTGCGTTTGTGTAGCATCCGAAAGTTTGCGCCAGTTAATACCCGCGGCATCAGTAACCGACCCGCCGAATCCTTCAATCGTTTGGTAACGGGTGTTGGTGAATAGTCTCAATCTTACAGAGTTCCAAATCGTCGAGTTAGTTCCTTCATCAAAATCAGACTCTTCAAGCATTTCTTTTGGAGTTTGTTCTCTGTCAATGTCTAAACTTTCTGCATAATTGACAACGTTCTGAATTTCTCCAAAACTTTTCTCAAATCTTTTGCCCGACTGTAAATAATTGTTATGATTTTATTATGTATATTACCTTAGTTTCATTTAAAGTTTCGGGTGTTTGTAGTAAAATTACTCTACTAGCTCAATCTTCATCGCCGGCTTCATTTGCAGTTGTTTCATTAACAACCGCTGCATCAGCAATCTACAACACCCTCTACATCTACGGTCATTATGATCCAATGTATATGCCGTCTTTAACAGCCTCCACATCTGCAGTCGTTAATATCCAACGCATCTGCCTTTTTTAACACACGCTACATCTGCACTTGTTACAATAATAAGCTGCTGAAGATCACACCCTCCTTAGGGTTAATTACCTATGGATTTTATTGGTTGGTAACAAGTAGCCTGGAGATACTCACGTCGCTACTTGTGTAGACTACGTAGTTGCCGCTGCTTGGTTCTTCTCGCGTAATAGTGTCACAGTAGTTGGCATCGCAAACACAAACAATAGATCTACCTTCTATTTCAAGATCACGTGTGCGGCATGGCAGATCTTCTTCTGCAAAAATTAGAGAAATAAAGCTTAATTACATAATTCTAGACTTTTTAGACACTTGATTTTGTTGTAGAGTATAAAATACATTTGGATAATTTTTAGAGTTCCTTAACTCAAAAAAGAGAAACAGACCCCTTAGATTACGAATGTGTTTGTCTGTCTATCCCTTACTCAAATTTATCATTATTCACTCAAGATTTACATTTATGTCCGTGTAACGAAACTGATTTTCAGTAAGGAAAACAATGGCTTTAAACATGGTGCCACTTTAGAAGGGTACCTAAATATACTTTTCCTTAACTAAATTAATTAATTTATTATTCCTTACCAACTGTATCGTGTGAAATTTCTAATTTTTGTGATTTGTTTTCTGTTTGTGAAAATCATCATAATTTGAGATTAATAATTAGTAGGTAGTATTTATAAAAATAGACGGAAATTGATACCTTTTTATCCCTAAAACTAGGGCTAATATTTTGGAATTATACAGAAATAAGTTAGTTTAGGAAGCAACTAGGTAAAAGAAGCTTTACCTCTTCACGTCATAACGGTGGTTTTATATTACCCTATATTTTGCCCCCGGTACGCAAGTCGAGTCTTAGATGGCCGGTTTTTATACGGGGCCTAAAATGCGTTAAAGTTTAAAAATAAAGAAATTGGAACATGTTTTCTCTATCTTTATGTAGTCGATTTCTCGAACTTAAATCTTGTTACCTACATGTGTTACAAAAGTGATATTTTTTCACTACGTGTAAACTTACCAGCAATTGTTAGTGATAATGTGAGGAGTGCAATTCCTATAAGCGATACCATACGCACCGCCATCTGTAAGCACTGAAACAATTATTTTTTGAACTCTCCTTCGTTACGCACTATGCTAAACTTGACACAATTCGCAAATGTCTGCTAAGTAACGTCGACTTCTTATAACTGGTCTGACTTTCATTTTTTAAGGCCTACGTATTGAGATGGGTTTTATCTGTGTTGATAGTAAATTCCATCACTTATCCTGATAAATTAATCACTGATATAACATAAACACACAGTATAAATCACACCTAATATTACACTCTCGTTAATCACAACTTACCTTATAAAAATCTAACTAAGAACTGATTATTTTTAAGAATCGACTCGCACGAGATAGTAATTTTATATCCGATAAATATGATAAAAAACAGTAAATTATAATTTCATCCTCATTAGGTAGGTACTTAATCGAATTTGAAGTAACGAATGTTGATATTTTATGATAAGAGGGATTAACATAAAAATGTTAAAATATTATGTTCAGATTAATAAGTTAACAAAATTAATGTTCATAGATATTGTACATTGTCTTTAAAATTGTAAAACCAGCGTTACTACTTTAAAAACAATTTCGCTCCGCGACTTCGTTCTGTACATTATATCATTTGACTTTCTTATCGATTGAATATTTCAAAATTATTTCTTGGCGAACGTCTTAATAATTATTCATCATCATCATCACTAGCCTATTACTGTGCCACCTGGAGCACAGGCCTCTCCTATTATTTGGAACCGAATAGACAAAATAGGCAATGCAATGCCATCACGCGGGCCCAGTGCGGATTGTTGGGTTTCAACGACTGCAGTGCAGCCGGGACCAACGTTCTAACGTGCCTCCCGAAGCTAAGGGCTAAAGCTAGGGGTTCAGAATTGCAAAAATTTTGTTAACAATTAACGTAGATATACACTGTGGTACTTGCTACTACAATATTTTTTATAAATGATAGACGAATTTTTAGGTGAAAATACTACGGTTGCACGTCACCACAATATATCAAATTTCTCCAGTTGATTTTAAACTCTACCTCCAAAACATTAAGGATAATCAGGGTGTCCACTCTAAATGTCTAGGAAAAGGCAAAATTAGTCATGAACTATCCGACGAATATCAATTACTACACACACGCCCACGCACACACAACCACAGACACACACACATATATGCATACATACCTACTAACTGACTTTTGTAAAAAAGAAACTTCAATATATGTGCGTCGAAATTCAAGACTGGGGAGATTAAACCTATCAAGTGTGTCCACACATGAAACAAGACACCGTTTCAAACCTAAACGAAAACAGAGCAAATTAATATTTTTTTGTACCCTCTCAATACGTTGGCAATGAACCTTGTAAAAAGAATTCTAAGCTATAGATCCACATCCAAGAGTACTTCTAACGAGCATAATGTAAAGGTAGACTAGACTCGGCGGTCTTTTGAAATCTTTCGTAAGTCGTGAGACGAATCCGAGCAGTTGGGATGCCTTATTACAAACAATATCAAAATGATCACGAAATGATCATCGACGGTAACGCCCAGATCTCTAACCCTAGTATCGCTTTTCGGAATAGAACCCATGATGTTATAAGTAAATTTAACTTTGCTACGTACACGACCGAACGAAATAACAAACCACTTATCAATATTAATAAACATACGATAAGCATTAAGCATCTTCTATAGATGTTATCACTTTAAAAAGTTTCAAATCGTCAGCATAAAGCAAACAGTGTTGGATACCTCATCAACAAGGTCATTTATAAATATGACTAATAAAAGAGGACCAAGATGTGATCCCTGTGGCACTCCCGGAGCGAATATATAAGAACTGAACAGATAACCGCTTATTGCTGCAAGTTGGCTAAGTTTACTTAGGTATGTCGTGAATCCCGTAAGAAGATAGTTTTTGGAGAAGAATAAAGTTGGTATATATAGAGTCAACTTGCTCTGGTTTTAAAATCGATGTACTATTATAGTCTCTGAGACAGATTTCAAAGCGGTGATCAAAAACTTTAGCATCAAATACGCTATTATTTAAGTTGGTCTCAGTAAAACATATAATTTTATAATCAGAATTGAGAACATTTAAATACAATTTTGATAATTTAGACCGAATTCCATTAATATTTTGGTAGTAAATTAACATTATGATACCAACAAATTACGAAAAAGCATGCACCGATCATTTCAATCAAATATGAAATTGATCTACTTATTATTTTATGTTTTTAATACATTCTATATTTTTAATATATTATGATAACTCGTTGAGTCCTTTCTTACAAACACTCGCCCGTATTTAATTCATACATATTTGTAATTATTATCTTTAGCAACTTTTCTTGTATCCCCATGTAACTTTTTAACTTTCAGGCGATAAATGCTCCTACAGGTATATACCTCCAGAAACGCGTTTCTCCAACGACACCAACGACATAAGTTTGTTACTATGTGCTGCGGAAAGTACTTCATCACGCAGCCGTGGTGTCGCTAGCGTTGCTATGATATTTCGAGGTCGTCTTGACAAGTTATTCTGTTTAGCAACCCTTCGACATGCATGAATATCCGATTCTTTGATTGATAAGCTTAGAGATTCTCAGTTTCAGGAAAATAGTAATAGTATTCTCACTTTGGGACGGCCTGCACTTCAAGGTTGTGACTCCTCGAGATTTTCTCCATAGCATACACTTGACTTCTAAAATTGGATATCATCATTGGCATTTTTGCTTTTCAAATACATTTGATCGGAACTTAAAAAAATTGACGTGGAGTTGAAGTCCTCTTTAAGCTTCTTTGTTATCTCAACAACTTCCAATTTGAGCAACTTCTTGACATCTTCTTTTATTGCCTGTCTAAAATTTCCCTTATAAGTTGACATCACACTGTTTAATTTAGAATCGAGCAGAGCGCTAATATTTTCTATGGTTACTGCCCCACTCAGGTGAGGTAGAAGGGCACACAGTGCCATTGCAATCCAAGTTGCCCAAGGACATATCGACACTGTCGTCGATCGGCATTTAAGTGTGTCGGATAGGAGTGTCAGGGGTACCTTTGGTTCGCCGACTTAAGTTGTTGCATGAGGGACAAATCCACGTTGATCGATACGATTCAGATAGAGATGTAAATTGTTCAGTTTTCATATTTAAACATTCTATTGGAATTTACCCTTGCACACTACACAATTATGGAAACATTTTTACTTAATGCTCTTTTGGCAGACGAGATAGTTCCGTCCCGTGCGCGCAGGTTCGAACCGACAAACTCCTGGAAGACAATAGTTTGTTTCTCAGCGTTATGACATTAAGTTACGACGCTCGCTGCTAGTCTAGTCAAAAACTTGATATCATCAATGACCCCCTTCCGACAATTGTATTGCCAATTCCTATGTCTGTCAGTTGTATAAAATTAAAGTTCAGACAACCGGCTATCTATTATGTTATCGCAGTCACTATAATCAAATGCAGAAATTATTTTCACAAGTTATAATGTTCATTGACTTGCTATCAACAAAACAACGTCACTGAAAAATCACAAAAATCCACTACTGGAATCCGACTTTAACACAAATTCGACATGATTTATAATTTTTGATTAAAGAATAATACAGAGACTGGATGGATGGCATTACAAGGATGGAAGCCCTGTTCTACCAACTCTGATATTTGACCTGTCCGCATTAAAAGAGGGTAGTTCTGCAGTGGAGAGTCCCACAGAACTTGCTGATCCCCGCTGGTGAACCTATTCGAAGACAATCTACCTATATTCGAATTTGTTACCAACCAATTTTATCAACACCTACTCAATTAAGAAATACACAGATTAGATATGAATTAAATGATTATATATTTGTGTTGATTAGGCATAATTCATTTGGAATAGATCACGAAAAAATTAAAGAGTTTAGAATATATTCTTAATAAAAATGCTTAAAAATTGCGATTCAGAAGAGATGGAACAATGTCAGAGTACTTACCTTACACTTCATAAAGTTCATAAGTGTGTTAGAATTGGGTATGAATTTTGGCACAGCGGCCCAAGCGGTAATTATAAACATTATAGATTTTTTTTTCAAATTTTGAACGCGCTCAATAAATGGCACTGAACTTATACATTCTAATTGATAGGTATTACAAACCATTCTATATGTAGCTGTCAGTACGCTGAGATCTTTTAAAATATAAAAGGATTTTAATGCGATTTTTATCTATTCATAGAGTGAGTTAGGAAGGGTCAATTGTGTTAATACCACGCGGACGAAAGCACTGGTAGAAAGCAAGTGTATTACAAGAGTATCTCGTTTGATAAAAAAATACAGTTACCAGTAAAATGTATTATTTTGTTCATTCCTTCTCTCTAATATACATATATATACTCTTTTATTATATGGAAATAAATAAGATGGTGAATAAATAAGATACACATAAATTTAAGAAGACAATATAATTAAATTTTCATACAAATCTTTAACGTAATATTATCTTTAAAATACTGTACAATGTCGGCTAGTTTTGTAAGGAATCATTTGCTGTCAAAACAAAACATAAAACTACGTTAAAACTGAAAATCCAGAATATATTGCGTTCAGGATAACGACTAAAGAGCAAATGATTGTCTTCAATCCCGCCGACTAAATCTTTAATATTTTCATTTTGATATGGCAGATTGTCGATATGAAAGACTTTTATACAAGCAAAGATCGCTTAAAATACTAAAAAAAAAAACTGAAAGAAATGCACTAAAGTATACTTTTATTTACAAGACACGACCTCGGTATTTATTGAAGATGCGGTTGATTTTTTTAAACAATTCCGTTAAAATCTATTCTAGCAAAAGTGTGAAAATTAAAATTGAGTTAATCTCATATGAGTACATAATAATAAAAGTCTAAAATCACAACAAAGCAGATCTTCCTTTGCTTGTTTTTACAATAAACGAACACTTTGTCGTATTGTCAACAACACTATCCCGATTGAGATAGTCACAAAAAGTAAAAAAAAAAAATGGGAAAATGTGTAGCCAGAGAGTTTGACTACTAACTTGTTACTGAATGAAATACCAAAATTAAGTAAGTGATGGAATAGAAAGAGATTACCTTTGTATTAGTATTGGTTCGAATTTGTCGATTGGTCCAAGGACAATAATTTACAGATAAATTAAAGTAGTCAAAATCCACTGGTACACCAAATTAAGTTCAATCGCTTAAGTACTAGGTACGTGACAACATTATATACGATTTCTGAACGACCATCGCCATAAAACAAAAAACTTAAAGCTATTCACTTTACATTTACCTAATATAACTCTATCAAATAAATACAAAAAAAATCTCTTATTTATTATCTAAGATAATATTTTCCTACCTCATGTCTTGAAACTAAATACTATGTAATGCACGTAAACTTAACACTGTTAAAATAATGTGCGTACGGAACGCACAGAGGGGGATACCCTTATAATATTTGACTAAAAGAGAGATCAAATCATTGCCACGTAAACTTATTGTAAAACCGGCAGGCCATCGAGTACAACGCCGCACTCGTTTGTACTTTGAAACTTGAAAGAGAAACGGCCTCGGTAGAAGGATAAAAGATTTCAAAACAAAAAGTATAATCAGATATTTTAGTTTAAATTTGCGCTAACATATTAATTACTAAACAAAGTATATCGCACATGTTGTAAAATCATCCCAAAGCTACCATTTTGTTTTGCAACTAACCGAACCTACCCTTGCATAAGATACTATCTATCGAGATATTGCTAAAATATTATAATCTTTAAGTGGAATAAAAGGGAATCTAAAAAATTTACGATAAATAAGACTTTATTTATATTAATATTCTCTTTGTATTTTTATTGTTCTTTGTATCGACTGGCAAAGTTTGTTCGTGTTCAATTACAAAACAAAATGCGGTAGCCGTAACGAGACTATAAATAAATGATTTGATTCATTGACATTCTTTTCATAATATCAACATCACTGAATATTATTGAAAATATTGAACTTCACCTTGTGTTAAAACTAAAAAAGCTGCCGTAAGATAATTAAATAACGGGTAGATATAATACAAATATTGCAATCTAATTTAATTATTGTACATAAAATACAGTGTTGTGAATTTCTATTTCTCTCATTAAGGTACATTTCTAACATACCACTAATCTGGCAGACCATGTGAACACATGAACATTGTAACAACGGTACATATTATATACAATGTATTTATTACACACTGTGGCAAAGATAAACCTGGCAAATCATACATGCGAACTTTTTCTATAATCTAATAGAGGCATTTTAAAAATAAATAAAGCATACAGGTTCCATTCAAATTGAGGTCCGAAGGGAAGGAAAGGGAAATATTTTGATGTCATTATTATACGAGAATGTTAGAATTTCAGGCGAATATCTCATTTCATTAACCGTTTAGCAATTCTGTTACAAAAATTACTAAAAACGTCGGGAGACGTAAAGGTTAGGTATATTCAAACGATTTTAAGTCTTGATATTATGTCAGTTAATGTTCAAAATCGATTGTAGAAATAAGTTATAAAAAATTCCCTGTCCATCAAACGAAATGTGAAATCTAATCGTGCGTTAATAAGAATCAATTTAACTCGTATATTTTTCAAGAGAAGGGATTGAAGCTTAGAGCGTGCTTTATGGATTGAAGTAATGACGACTTATAGGACCATGAGCCGTTAGGATTGGTGGCTTTAAAGAGAGACATCTTATCAAAACTATACTTATAAATTCTACGCATGATTCAAGGACCCTACACTAATATTTTAACCTTTCCACTGCTATTAACATTTAATATTTATATTGATTTATTTATACATAACAGGTGAAAAGATTAAAATTGCTCAAGTAATTTATGTTAATGTAACATAATTATAGAGGCACTGTGTGTGTATTCAATTCTATATTCCTTATTTGACATTATTTTACACAACTATACCAAAACTATTTCAGCATTATAGGACTTATGTAAAATATAATTGTAACTCTTATTTAATTTTTATATTTGAAGTTATAGGTTGTTCTCCCACTCGCACACCAAGAGGGAGGGACTGTTTAAAATATATTTACAAAAACAAAAGTGGCTTTTGAGACGTTCAAAGACTTTAGTGCTTTAAATTATATTAGAGATATTAAAAATTGAGCTATACAATAAACATTCAGTTATAAAAATACTTGTAGCGTAATTTTCAGATCACAATTTGCTATGTTAGGTTCACATCATCAATAAAACAATGCATGTATCTCTTTCTAATCAGATGACAGAAAGTGCTAGATAGATATATCTATATATCGGCTGCGTGAAAACCCATCACATAGAAATATTAAAGAAACTGGACTGAATAAATATATATTCTTAAATTTAAGAAATTGTATTGCCTGATGGGTAAACTTATTGTCTACAAACTGATAAAATCCTTAAGTGCTTCGTATAATTTAGAACTGTCTTCTAAAATAAGGGAGAAAGCATAAATGTAATAAAATAAGTAACTACAAATATCTAGTGTCCTTTGTAGTTCTACAATTTAGGGAAACCTCAGATTCTATAACCTTGGTCGGTCAAAACACCACGCACTGAATTTCAGTATTTTCGTAATTATTATGGAAAAGTTGAAAAAAAAAAATCTCTAAAATAATTGAGAGCCTATCGATGAAGTTTGCTTTGTAACATAGCTTGCTTATTAATAATGAGTTATTGTTGTTGTTAGAGCACGGTGATTGTGTTCAAATATAGCATTGGAAAACTAGTACCTAGTCTGTGGAAACTCTTATCCCCGTAGCGCAAATGTTTGGTAAATAGTTGTAAATCTTAATGTAAATGCTTAAAAATTCCACTTTGTTTTTGGCACTCTGAAAAATTGGTCAGCCCTGTTAGGTCCTGTGTAGCGCAGTGATTAGATCAGACGCCCAGATTGCGAAAGGTCATGGGTTCGAGTGTCATCTCAGAGTGCCAGGGACAAAATGATTTTTTAAGTATATTTCATTAAGAGTATTTTTCAGTATAGCATTACGAATGCAAAATGGATCAAATATAACAGTTACAAAGATTAACTATGTTTGTCAAGCTTACTTCACAAGAGTAGTTAAAAATCTGTTGCTATACATTACCAACTAATAAAAGTTTATCAAAGCGTCGAAAAACACCGACTAGATCCCAGCTCTGGTGAATTTTTAACTTAACTGAAGTTTCGACTCATATCGGCGCAGTTTACCTAAATGACATTATCTAAGGAAAGATTAAGCATAGGAGTTATAAAATATATCAATACGGAGTAGATGAAGAATTTAGGGTAATTGAAATACGTGACTATATAACAGAGATAATAAAGATAACGGGCATAAAAAGTGCGCCGAGTCCAAAAAGTACGGACATCGTGTTGAAGTTAAATTTCCATAGCAAATTACTAATTTTGCTAAACTAACTATTATACCGATATCGAAAATCCTTTTTTATCTAGTAGATCGTACCGCAACTAAAGTCACAAAACACTTATATTTCAATGTTAAATTGAAATTTAGTTTCAATCATTGTCCTCTCGCTTCACTATGTTGCGCTACGGGTGATAAGAAGGAACTTTAGCGAGCTTTGCTATTAACTCAAACACTCGATTAAGTAGTATAATGCCGCTAGTTTATAATTAAACGAAGCACGTGGGGAAATTAGTCTGCGAGCGTTGTGTTCAGTCTTTGACGAGCCTGTAGATGTGATGTTGCGCGCCGTGTTCACTGTTCGACACCTCGAATACAAACGCGGCGCACAGCAACGTTTCTTGAGTATCTCTATTTGAAACCACCTGCGCAAAGAAAAAAAAAATAGCGTCGCATTGATCGTCAAGTGGACAGTGAAGTTAAAAACATTTTTGCTTTCGCTGATAATTTAAATGTGATAATATTTCAACTGCTTGCGAAGTGTGAGATTTTATATTTGCGAGTGCGTTTTGATATTGTCATTTAATAGCCTATTAGGTCATAAATTTTGTTTTGATTAGCAAGCAATTTATTAGTTCATGGATGTTAAAGTAATCTTGGCAAATAGCTATATAGCATTATATGTTTAACTTTGTTTCTATCATATTATAACAATTATTCATGTACGTAATAAGCATAGTTATCAATATCATAAGCTAAATTGTCTTTACGCGCATGACAACTCTTGAAAACTACCGAAGAACGTCGTCAATTTGTTTTTCTTGTATTAATGTTAGTAATTTTCCAATATTTTTACTAAAATTCCAATGTTAAATACAATAAATGTAATCATCTCACCTGTAATATAGTGAAGTTTTCTAGTACGCTGTTCATCATGTACTTCTCGGGTAGGTGTTTGAGCTTATGTATGAAGTTGACCATGTACTCGCACATGGGCGAGCGATGTATGCGGTACACGAACCTACCGCTCTCGAACCGCGCATACTCAGTCTCCACCTTCTCTACCACTTGTTTACCAAACGAGCACACCTTTGTACTGCACGTTATCGTCATGTTCTCGTTGCTTTCGTATCTGTTGACGAATGCATCTCCTTTAATACTATGTGTGTAAAGAAAAAGTATTTCTTTAAAGAGTACGTTATACCTATGTAGTTGGTTATGCCAAAGAGTATGTAGTGCATAAGTACTCATTAATTTTTAATGCCTTCAAGTTTGATAACGTGAAATTAGGAGGACATCTATTTCAATCGTTATTTTCATACAAACTAAAATATATAATATTGCGGATTTCCGATATAAGAGGTTAGAATCATAAATGTTATTGATATACACAATTACTTACACACTTGTGACTCCATAGAAAGCACCAGGATCGTCCAAATTATTTGTATTGAGGTCCGCCCAAAACTTTACTAGGAAGAAGGCATTTCTTGGACCTTTCTCATATAGCTCTTTGAGCCCTCCTTTCTTTTCTGGGAACTTATCATTTATTTGTTGTACGTCCACCGACTGTAAACAAAATGTTTTTGTTAATAATATTATTTCCTCATTAGTTGGCATTATATTTCTATAGAAGTCTAAGATCAAAATTGCGTATGGCGTACAAGGATCACACTAAGTGTTTAAAACAGGCTAGTAAGAAATAGAGGTGGTGAAATTTTTATTTCAATTTCGAACTAGGAACTGTTTTGGATAAAAAATAGTAGATATTTAATAAATTTATTGGTCATTTGTTTTATAAATGCTGTAATTGATATCGTCACAGTTGATGTGACGTATATTTATCATACTTCCGTAAGACGCTTGAAGATTCTTCGGTCATTTATGTGCCGTGCTAACTCTTTAAATGATAATAATCTGCCCAATGGATGTTTCTATCCGAAGATTTGCTGACAAAAGTGAAAAAGGGCAGATATCAATGGAAAATGTGATTGTTTCATTCTTTGGATGGACAGGTAATCTCGTAGCAATTATCCTAGAAGATTACAGGACTGTTATTGCGAATTGGTATGTATCGGTACGTAAGAATGAGATGTCCCTTTGAAAAAAGGAGTGGAAAAGATCCTTAAAGAAGAATGTCCATGTTTCAGTCAATGGTTCCATCGCATGTAACGGTATTTGGACAGAAACGGAGATTACTAAGAAAACTAATAAAAATATTAACAGTTTATACTTCCTTCAGTTTTTTTTATATAATAAGAAACTTCGTGTGACCCTCGTTTGTGTTACGATTTTGATGTTGAAGACTAATGATTTAATTTATTCAAAATTCAACGATGACAAAATCAACTTATTAGTAATAAAATTAAATAGAAATCCTATGAAAGATTAGCGTAACATTAAAAATATCAAGAGGTAAACTCACCTCTAACAATGGATCGGCGTAAGTGACTGTACCACCTATATGTACGAATAAATGTTGTGCCGGCGCAGCACTCGGTGGATACTGTTAATAAAAATATAATGAGGTATTTTAATAGTCCGTTAAATCATTGATATTACTAGCTTTTGCTTGCGACTTTCCCCACATGGTATATAGATATTTATTTTAATTGACAAATTTTCCTGTATAAATTTCCTTATAAAAATAAATATATATATATAAATTTAATCCTTAATGAAAAATGCTTAAAAAAGAGATAGGGTTCGAACCCATGACCTTTCCCAATCCGGGCAACTGCTCTAACCACTAAGCTACCCAGGACCTAACGAAAGGACAGGACTGACGAATCTTTCAAGTTCTTGTTACTTTTTCATTAAGATAATATTTTCAGTATAGCATTTTGAACTACATATGTCCTTTCCAAAGTGCAACTTTTTTTTGTACCAAATTTCTTTAAAATTGATTAAAATGAAATACCTGTTAGAAATAGCCAATTATTTATATGAACGTCAAAAATATATTCAAGGATGACTCAGCAATGATCTGGCGTGGTATGGTTAAGAAGAGTAGTGTTTCTCGGTATTCAAAGTTCAAGGTTTGCTTTCATGATTATTAAGTATGGCAGTTGGTTTCAAAATGTTGTTTAAAGGTTATCTGCGCACGCACTGAGAAAGTTTGTCAATTGTTTTTTTTTTGTCGTTATTTTTTATTAAACAGATGCAATTAAATGAGTTACAAATTAGAATTGTGCCATTGATTCGGTACATGTTTTTATCTTGTACGTCGACTAAGTAGGTGTTATAAAAATAAATATAATAGATGGTTAATTGGATCTATTTTATAACAATGCGGAAGTATTTAAAAAAAACATTAGTTCCCGAAATCAAACTAAATGTCGCTACGGTACGTTCTTGACTTCTCTATGACAACCCTTCCGGTTTTCTTTCATGTTTAAAAGTAAATTAGTTTTCAAAACTCGATAAACCACTCATGTTGTATTTGAATCTTTCGTATTTGTATTGATATCTAAGTTTCGAACTTTTCAAATTCAGTTTTAAATATGTTAGTTAAAATGAACGGAAATGACTATCTTTGATCCATTCGTTTCCTGCAAGAATCAACTTTTGCTACAGTCGCCATCTAGTGGAGGTGCATTTTTATTTCTTTCGTTTTTTTAAATACTTCCTCATTTCATTTGATCATAATGAATAATTAACCAGGTACGGCGTAGAGTGGTATGCCCTTACCGTGTCGGGGTCCCTCGGGTGTTCCACGAAAGCGGAGAATTCGACTAGCCTGAGTTTGTGCGTGGCGATGGCGCGCCCTTCCCACGGCGGTGGCGGCGCAACGTCCGTACTGCCCGGCACCACGCCGCCCACACCACCTACGCCCTTGTACCCCGCGCCAGGGAACGGCTTCACGCTAAACGATACCATATGGTTTATATGGGGGCTGCAATCTCCACATTTATAGGGTATGCAGAGTTCACCGACCAAGTTCTGTCTAGGAAACTTAACGAATATCGATCGCTAATTTGACAGTGGCTCTCGGTACGTGCCTAACTAATAACAACATACTTAATTGCAATAATCGGTGAATTACGATCGCCATGAGTAAGCGACCGAATTCGCTAAGATTGCGATCGCAAACTGACGGGACTGCAGCTCCAGGTACTGCAGATACGACAGTATTAGCATTTTACAGAATCCAGTCGTTTGATTATAGCGATCGCATCTTAACGATTATTGCAACCGTTTACAAGTGAATGTATGGTCTTAATTTTGAGTCATCTCGTTAATTATCGATATTCGGTAATAGGTAGGCTTTGAGATATAGCTATCAATGACAAATGTCCAAAACTTTAAACGTTCTTAAAACCTTAAAGAGGAGTGTGAATAGCTATCGAGTTATCAATAAAAAATGATTCTTTCTAATGTAAAATTAAGATTTTGCCATTACCTGATTATTCATCGGGGTATTATTTTGTACAGTGTCGAAACGCAATAACGACTCAATTAAAACATTTTTCTTGGGATTCATAGCGCTATGGATGAATGTCATGTGCCCGCTTCCGAACCGTATGTTTATCGGATATTCATGTATAATGAGATTAGTATAGGTGATAGCTAGCTTCAAATTACCTAACTGATCAGAACTATTTCAATTGTCATGACGATTTTTAAATATTTTTTTACATTAATTTAGTCAATATTCGAGTGACATATAACAATACTTTTAATTATTCCTATATGAATAACTTTTATTTTTAATATACTTGTAATATTAATAAATACTTACTCCTGTGATGTTCCAGCTTGTAATCCAGGCTGCCAAAATTGCTGGAAAGATAAAAATAAACATTTAATCAATAATTCAATAGATTTTCCTACATATCTTTTCAACTACTTATAAACAAAAAGCATGTTTTGTTATTCGCTCAGTTAATGTCAGAACATCGACACATTGGTTTATTTGGAACGCAAATTGATTTCATTTCGATGATTTAATATAGGTCCTATATTCATTTTCATTAAATACTATCTACTTTACAATTTCTTTGTTAATTTGTTTGGTAATAGATATGTCAATTACTTTTGTTTCATTTTAAAATGTTTCATGTGTCAGATTCCCTACTTATTCTTGTAGGGACTCCTTAGTATTCATGCTGCTATTATATTTTTTATAAACAGAACCGAAGCTTCTAACAGATGCTTTCATCTTGTTAAAATATATTTATCTTCACTTATAACGTATATCTATATCAAGATTATGGTCCTAAAAGCATTTAAGATTGTTTAAAATCTTGATAAAATGTGAGTGAAGCTAATTAATTGTTATTCGCCGTAATATGCACATTACGACATCGTCGACATGCCTTCAGAAGCGAAAATCAGACGGACAAGTAACACAGGCTCACAAAATGGACAAGTGACTTATACTCGATGGACTGCTATGGAAATGAATTTAGATGAGATTTCGTTTTAGTTTCATATCCAACAGTAGAGTGGATAAGATTGGCGATCTACAAAATTTATCATTCGACTTGAACTTTTGACAGATTAAAGCCTTATATTTGGCAAAAGTTGATGGCAGAAGACTGTGCCCGAAAGTTTGCGCTTATGTACTCATGGTAAAGAGCAGATCATTGTTGTTATTTGATATAAATAAGATGTTAAGAGTAGTTCCGCAGCAGTCCATCAGTAATGTCCTATTAGTGGCATGCCTTCATTTGTACCGTGTGATGGTACGCGGGATGCGGCAGGCCGGCCACGATCTGTGCGCTAGATAGAGCGCTCATCGACTGCATGGCCTTCTCTTTCATCATTCCTCCGTCCTGTCATTCATTATGATTCTTAATTTTTTTTTAGATGGTCTATGAAAATGTTAATTGCATAGATTTCTTCTTTAATCAGGTTGTTTCTTTACATTCACGTGAATGGATGGGTGACCGTGTTTTAATTTAACGTTAAATCGTTATTTAAATACTCATTTAATACTCGCACAAATAAATGAAATTTGAGCCAATTCAATTGCATTGTTAATTTTAATTGGATTTGTTAAGAGTTCTTCTCTTTTGTCATGTATAAATAAATATAAAAATAATATACTGAATTTTCATAATAACTGAAGAAGCTGAGATAGTTTAAGTAAGCAATTATAACCCATTTTCATCAATGTCGAGCAGTGTCTTCAATATTATCTAAGTTCGGCATTTTCCTAGTTCGGTCCCGTTGTATTTTAATTTATCGAGATAAAGTAGACGAAGTGTCAAAATTGCAGTACATTTCTAGACGTGACTTTACTATGTTACTTACAATTTTTTTGCTATCAAAACGCAAGTTATTAGGTTTTATATGTGTATGGTTTTACTTATTCTTGTTATAATAGATATGGACAGAAAAAGAGGTAATGTTCCGAAATTGAACCGATACTATATTATTTAAATATTTAATAAACAACATTTTCATGAATATTTCTTTGTAAATGAGACTAGATTTCAGAACTCACCACTTTGAGTTTAGCTTGTATTTCACGTAGTTTCCGTCTCGCTAGCACCTGTATGTGCGATGAAACTTGTTTCCTCGTGCGAGTCTTGCCTGTCCGTAATTTGATATATCTTGCTATTAGTTCGTTTCTTCCTGAAAATCAATAAAAACTTATCATTAACTCATTTCACATGTTATCCATTTTATTTCAAGAAGAAATAATTCAATAACATCCAATAAGTCGGTTAAGTTTAAACTTTAGTAAAAGGTTATTTAGTACAAAACTTCTCAAAGTAACATTGACCTTTTGAACAACCTATCGTGTATTTGCGATCGTGATTCAAACATTTATTATTATTATAAGACAAAGTTCCATCAATATTGTAATGTAACATAAATTGACATATAACTACATAGAATCGTTGTTCAGTTTGTCATGAGAAATTGGAATGCCGATATCGTTTTAGTGGAAAGTTAATCATCGTTGTCATAGTCGAAAGCTGAGGTTGGATGAAAAAAAAAAACAAATGTGAGTAATGAACGATTGACATAACCCGCGGATGCCTCGCGTGCCTGTACAGGCACAGCGCGCACAATGCAATCCCGGCGTAACCCCCGATCCTGTTATGAAACAATTTTCAAAATATTTTGAATAGCTATTTTCAATCATTGAAACTGCAGCCGAGCGGGAATGCGGGATGGATCGCCGAAGTCAATGCCGGATGCGAATTGTTTAACAATTTAACAGATTTAGTTAGTTGAATTAAAAGCACTGGAATTTTCACTACGAAAATTTCGAGGGTTTCGAATTGATTTTACTGTATGCGATCCATACTTTTAAAATATTTTCATATAATTTATTTATAGTATGTCTCATTTGGGATATCGTAATAATTCATGGACTATATAGATACAGACAGATCTGACCAAAGTAAATTGAAATCTCATTGAATTCGGGGAATGCGATGGCGACGAGAGTCGGCTGGTGCGAATTTAATTAACCCCTTGCTTGCTTGTTGAGGCGAATATGTACATGTAGTCGACTATCTACCAGTCTATAATAAAATGTAATCAGACATATGAGTTAAGTTCAACGATTGGAAAGTTCCATTCATTCACAAACGAAACAATATAGTTTGACAGAGAATTATGATCCTCTTCTATGATATTAAACTTTAAATTAAAGTGAGAGCCGACTACGAGCTTGCGAAAGAAACTCTTGAAGACTGTTAAGTCAAACATTCTTGAAATTGCTTCGAAATTATGGCACCGTCGTAAACTTTTCACGGCTGCTGTTAAGCTAAAATTAGTGAGTGCGGCTACTCTAACGAATTGCTATTAACACGAGTTAGTAGATATAAACACTGTGTGTTACAGTGTTACTTCCATTAGTGACATCGGCGAATCAGGCATTAAAAGTGCTTTCACCCGAAACATCGTGTGCACCTCTCTATAAATAGTGCGGTGCAGTGAGGGATCAACTCGAAACGTTTCTATCCAGAGAGTGGATAGAAAAACAAGAGATCATTATTTATTAGTTCGTTAGTTGGCTAATTTGGTCCACAGTTGGCGCGACGCGGCCACGCTCTCACGCACTCGGATGAAATTGTGCGTGTGTTTGCTTCTTATGAATATTTATAATTTTCGTCAAGTGGAGTAAATGAAAATTTATTACAATTTTCATTAGTCTATATTGATAACTATTGTGTCTAATATCATACTTAATTTTACGACACGAAAATCATGTGTCACGTGTTTGTCGGCAATTTATTATTATTAAATTAATATATAACCAAGCCGTATAGAGAAAAATATTTGGTCTAGTGTGATTCGTATAATAATTTATTCTTCAGTCGAGATGATATTGGAGATCAATCAGAAACACATTAACGTGGTACCTACTCGGGAAATCATCTCGTTATGATGAAATTACTATTTTCGTTTAGGTACTGCTCTTTTCGTTATATATATGTTTTGGTATAGGTATTTACATATAAAATTACATATTTAAGTTTTCATATAGCATAAAATGTTTTATATTTCAAGCGTAATGCCTGACAAGGGAAGAGTTTATTTATTATACATTAATATTAGGAATGAAATTGGAAGGAGAATATATAGTAAACGTCCAACCAATAACTTTATGATTCAAAGCATCGGCCAATAAAAGAAACATTCAAAGAGTTGTAATGCAGGATCCGTAGGAAATTCACGCTGACCCAAACAGGAGTTATTCAGAGTCCTCGTGGAAAGGGTTGAGTTGCGACGGGTCTAAGGAGGATTTCTTGGGAGACAATCGGGAGTTATGCCTAAGGCGGGCGGGGCGCTAAACAACGGGTGCAGGCCCGCCCCTTCTTTATATTTTCTTACTGCGTTCGCCGCTAGGCGGCGGCCGGGCCCCTTACACGCTCGCTCGCTCACTAATTGCGCATTCTTCGCATAGTTTAGCCCTCCCGGCGTCCCGCGCCCTCCACCCCCGGACCACGTGAAGCCGTGCGCCGACGAAACTTTCATACTCCCAGGATATTGAGCGGTTTTGAATGTCTTAACTCACGAACGTGCCACCAGCTCTCAGCAAGCTTTGTTGGCAAACTCTGTTCCCGAGTATACGCCGTTCAAGCGGCTGGTCTCCCGAATCTAACATGTGTATGTAACTATTGAACACTCCATTCAACACCTATCCAACGTTCTAAGTAATTGCAGGTTAAGAAGCAATAAATTGGAATAGTGTCTTAGCTACAAATAATTATGTGTTAAGCACTTAAGAAGTTTCACCCTGTTCATTAACTTTGGTTTGGTAACTTTATTTAGTTGGTGTATCACTGATGTAGTAAGTAGTATCTACCTTACCTATCTTTTATCGAGACTACTTCCAGAATTTTTCAATTATATCAACACTTAATTAATTACAATAAAAAAATTTTATTAAGTTTTTCACATGTTAATCTTAAGATGTACCACCACTCAAGTATAACAGTAAATCAAACCTACGATTGTTATTGATTGATTTATGCAAATCCATGATTTATATTGACTTGAATATTAATAGACAGGCGACTCTCGTATTTTTATAAAAACGGGAAATTTATAAGAAATCTTATAAGATTAAAAACACAATATAATCTTCTTATATATAAAAATGAATCGCAAAATGTGTTGGTAAGCGCATAACTCAACAACGCCTCGACCAATTTGGCCAAATCTTTTTTTAAAATGTTCGTTGAAGTTCAAGGATGGTTTTTACGGCGAGAAAAATTAGAATTATTGCTGGAAAAACCCTAAAAATAGCCCTTTTCTTTTTCCCATACAAATGATTTGTAACTAAAACGTAGTCAATTTGAGCTTTATTGCTATGGTATAAAGTTCATATTAAATTACAAGCACTCACTGTTGTCTAAGCAATGTAGGTGTGTTCCTAACGTCAAAGATCATATCTATCAAAACAATGTGCGTGTGTGCGTTGGAGCACAGAATACATAGTTGGAGGAGTTCACAACGCCCTATCACCAGGGTGACGGTTCTGTTCAGGAGAATTTTTTTAAATGCGTAGGCAAAAAAACTGCCACATTACAAATCTTTTTGACAGGACGAAGTCTGTCGGGTCAGCTAGTCATATTATAACTAGAAATTATAAAATTACAGAAAGTATAATTGAGATAATTTCGCAATTAACAATTTAATATTATAAGAATCCTGACATACTGACTAACTGATTTAGAGACAATGCATAGCATGAACGTTGTAGAGACTTGAAATTTGGAGAGAACAATGCTTTACTACTTAGGAGTGTATCGGACTGAGAACGCTAAAATATAGTAATTTAAGCAATTTTAAATAAAAATTACGTATTTTAATTCCAAATTTGAAATAAATCTTTTATTTATGTAATTTACTTTAGGTTTGCTTTTTTACTTAAGTTAATTGTATTGCCAAATCTAAATAGCGATATCGTAAAAAAAATCGCCTAGCATCAAACTTATTCCTTATGACCTATTTATAAGAGGTATTAATTTACGTTAAAAGGAATGTGCTTTTATTTGTTAGTTTTTCTTTCCTCTTCTATGTCCGTTTTTATGGTATGATTGTTTTGTACGGAGATAGTAGGCATTATAGTGTGACATTAGATGACTTTATAAAGCGAAAAAACTTGAGTTAGTTATATTCTTTTGTACTCGTACATGCGGATAAGATCGAGGACAAAGTAAATAAAGACTTTCAAATTAAGATTTCAAATGCCAACCGTCAAACATCATAGTAAACCAGAAGAAACTAGATTGAGAGATTGAATTCAGAAAATACCAGGCAAATCAAACACAAAGATTTGTTACCTTGATTTAAAAATTGGCGATTTTCTGGAATTACTATATGTGGCATTTGAAAGATTGTAGTGACGTAAAAGATTTTCATACGATTAACGAGTATACGTTTATAAAAGCTAGTAGGGCGAGGGCGTGAAATGGGCCTGGACGGACAAGGGTGACGCACTTTTAGAGTGAGATTAAGCTAGAGGACACGTTCTCGAGTAATGTGGTCATATATTGTAGGGAGGACGTGCCGCTGTTATTGTGCTCCCTCTTGTATTGGGCCCTCCACGTTAAGACCGGCCATTTGCTTATGATTTTATTGGACCGACCGCTAGATAATTAAGTGTTATGGCGAATATTTGAATCTGAATTTGAATTTTGTTCTTCAACGTGTTACGTTTAATTTATATTGTAAATAACTGTTTTATTTTCCTTGCTCGTCCGTTCTATGTTATCTATTAGTAATTTTTTTTTTTATACTTAGTACTTTGGCAAATTGTGTTTTAAGTTTCTGGTTTATTAAGCCACCAGTAAGCATAATTCTTGTAACCAAATATTTTGACTTAATCTCTAGTTAACAGTTACAAATTAAAATATTGTAGAGTTGAAATTAATCTAGGCGCCCCCTCTTCAGTTTACATTAAGGGCTCGGGTCCTCTAGATTCCCGTGAAGATTTAAAGCAATTAAACATTGCATTTCTTTCCGTCTATTAAATCACTTAAGGTGGACACATCGCCTGGTGAATTTGTTTAGCAATCCCATTTGGCACCGCGACCGGGCAGTCCTTTAATTAAAGCCGGGTAATGTTGCCGCTTGACGCGACTTAATGTGCGTCCAGTAATAGCTGACTCTAGTGTAATTGTTCTACGTCAATTCTAACCCGCACGAGTTCTAACAACAAAGAAACACATAATTTTAATAGTGCTTTCCTTGCTGCATAAAATTTATATAAAAATATGGAATAGATTTTTATATGTATGATAGAGTTTGCGTGATTATAATATGGAGATTAGGAATTTATTTGGGTATTAGGATACAACGATAGGGTTAAATCTGACGATATTTAAAGGAGTTCTTTTTTAAGTTTTTTATTTAAGGTCTAAAATGTATAAATTAAGGATAAATAATCCTTACTAATCATTCATGTTATAGTTTTATACATTACTACATCATAAGATTTCTTTAATTAAACGATCACAAGATTTAAGATAGGACACAAATTAAAGTAACGATGCTGTTAATTTTTATTTTACTATTTCAGATATTAAACAAGTGACATCATCTAGAAGCAAAAATGTGCTGGGACAGATTTTCTTTGGCTGTTAATTTACAGAATCCAAGAGGTTTATTTTAAGTAGCAATCGTCACGTCGTGTTAACGAGCTTCTTTAACTGTAACGTGAAAAAATTTCGTTTAGCCTCCCCTGCTCCGTTGCAATGCTTTTATTTTAATATCACGATTTAATGAACACTTTGAGTGGTGATGCTTATTAATTTCAGCCATCGGGACCTTTGAGTTCATTCGCCACATACACTTTCCTCGAATCGGTGTGCCGATCGACAGATAGGTAGTTATTGTCGGTTCACGTCTTTCTTTGGAATCCTATTGCGCAAACAGCTTTGTCGGCTGACATCAATATCTACCGTGGCTTTTGTCTCGTGCCACATCCATTGTTCATTTTAGGCGGCGCGGCCTTGATATCAGTTCATAATTCTGCCAAATTGACATGTAGGTTCGAACGTAATGTTAGCGAGTGCGGTTACAATTGTGTAGTGAGATGTGGGCGACCTTTGACGTCGACTTTGTTCGTGGGCACTCTAGCATGTTCGGACTCACCGTACATCTTGCCCTCGTCAGAGAGAATTATCTTGCGTCTGCCGCAGGGTGGGTAAATCGCCAGCGCCTCCTGAAAGCTCTGCTCGATATCCGGACTCCATACTCCTTCTGCATCGGCTGCAGATAAATCCTGAAATTACAAATTAACGATAAGGCCAATGAAAACAAGACTTGTGTTGATATCTCTTCATGTACTTTTGTCTTTCTAGGATGTTAAAGATGATCAACAGTTACAAATCGAGTTAAAAATATATTACCTAATTGTTTATACTGTAATAGCATGTCAATTAGTTTTTTAACGTTTTTTGGCTCTATTTTCACTTTATCTGCCGGTTGTATTGTCACTAGTTTACACATATTGCAATATTTGCTTGAATGTGTGTAGTTTACTATTACAACATTTTTCTCAATGGAATCAGATGTTAACACGAGGGTACACCGATGCAAAACAGATGTAGCAACATCCAACATAGTCTAAACGTATAAAGATTTGCTTACACATTCGGTTACAAGGCGATGAGTGCGTCACTGTAATTAATAGACTAGCTTCTATTCTCAAAAGAAAATAAAAATAACGCGTTCGACTCGGTCCAGCCACCGTCGAAAACATCGTGAATCACAATTCCTTGAAACCACTCGAAACAGTTTCTGGTTTTAGTTCAAACTGCGACGGAGAGTCAATATTTACTGATAATATCTTAGTCATAATAATTTATTTAACCGTGGCAGAAAAGATAAACTTCTTTGTATTACTGATCGATCTATATATTAATCTTAGTTATTTATAAAATTGAAAATACCATTCGATAGGACTAAAATAAATTTAATCTAGTTTGTGCAACAGAATTGCAATGAAAATAGCTTTATTACTACAACTATAGGTATTTGTTTAGAACATTTTTTTTGTAATAATATTTTAAAGTTTTGTATCAAATACGAAATGCATGTTGTGATGGTCTTGTTTCTATCTGCCGTTTCATGAAAATTGTTTTAATACATATGTGTGTACAATGAATGTGCTCAACTAGCGAGTTTTAGACGTTATGGACTGCCTATAGGCGTATGAGCATTCATTAATAGCGTAATAATTTTTCATCGCTATGAGTATCATTTTATAGACTGTAACAATTCAAAAGGAATGAATGACTAGAATAAAAGTTGACCTGACCTGCGATTCTGTAAAAATCACCTGAGTGAATTCGAGTTCGGGACTAGATTTTAAAAGAATCGCAGGGCTGATCATTTGTACTAGCGGAAGTATGGCGAAAAAAACGACCGTTGTTAATTTTTTGGTTAGTTTGGTTCTTTGCAGCTTTAAAGCTGAAAAAGCAAGATCTAAAAGTTACGTTATTTATGATTTTGCTTTTCAATTCTTTAATTAGGACTGACTAATTTTAAAGGGTAATATAAGCCGATGACGCCTGTCGTCTCCAATATCCGTATTCTAGCAATGCTGGATTTTGAAAATTCGACGGCCACTCTACAAACGTATAATATCCAAGGGAAAAGCCTCACGGGCTGTCGGGCAAAAAGTATATGTTCATTTCACCTCTGTGAGCTCATCCAGTACTTTGGAACCTTTACAAAGTTTACACCTCTACTGTTTTTGTGACGTGATAGTGAACCCTGTCGTGGTTGCCAGTCGGTTACCTTTTCATCGTCGCTCGCATCGCCGACGTCCAGATGCTTGGCGTCGGCGCCGCCCGAACCGTTGGTGTCGGGCGCGCCGGCCGGCGTACTCCACGGAGACGCAATTGTGCCGGCTGCGAGCGCACCGCTCGCTGTAACAATACAAAATAATAAATATTAATTATGCTATCGTCTAGCATTTGAATTATCGACTAAATATTCTAAAATTTATGAAATTAAATTATTAATGAAAAACAATATAGTAATCTAGTACCTAATTCATATTAAATTCCAGGAAGACCAATAACTTTAACATTGTGTATGAGCTAGGAAGAGAATCCTATCGTAATACCACTAATACCTTTAAGTCTCATAATTTTAGGTGTAATAATAACGTAGAAAATATATATCTAATATTAAGGGCTTATCTTTTAATATAGAAAACATGGACGTAAAAGCATTTAGATTTAATTTTACTTTAAAATCACACAAATGAATTTATAGCTTCCTTTTAAAGTTATACATTTAATTGAATACAGCTTAAAAAGTGTTAATTATTTGTTCATTGCTATGATTTAAAATGACAAATGACAGAAAAGACCTTTATTATTTAAAATGTTATAGTTATAATTATGCATATGATTGTTCAATTATTGTAACTAGTGTTACTAGATCCGTATATTGCTCAGCGATATCAAAAAAGGGGTTGTAAAACACAGAAGCAAGTAATTTTAGTTCAACATCGGGCGGACTTTGACGTCAGCAGTTTGTTTGTTTACCGCGGATGCCCGCCTTGTAAACATCCAATCTTATTGTGCTTCTACCACGTCAATGTAAGCAAAACTGTTGCACTCAATCCAACGCGTTACGGTGGATAGAGATTTGTATTGAACAGGCCAGAATGTTTATTGACATTGTTTGGCTCCGTTTTGTGACGTCTTTGGGTTAACTGGCTTTTTTGCTCGCATTGTTCTCGTAAGTTCAATTCGAGAAGTAACAAAATATTCACGTAAACTTTTAAATTTGAGCTCAGAATTTGGAGTATTGAAAGTGAAATTTATCAAAACTCAAAAAATTTGAAACTTGTGTCTACCCTTTGGCTATTTATTGGAGAAATAGATAAATGCTTTTAGCTACGCGAGTTATCAATTTCCTAGCAAACTATTTTAAGTACTTATATTTCTTTTACCAAAAAAAAAAAAACAGTCTTTCTGAATGCGAATCTGTGATGAATTAATTAAAAGCAAAAGGTGTGTGAACTGGCATTATAAATCACATGTGACACCCCCTTAGACAAAAGGCAATAAACTGAACGCATTTGAATAAAACTGATAATAAAACTTAATATTATTCTTAAAGAAAAATGCTTAAAAAGTCCCTGGTGCTCCAAGACGGGACTCGAAAGATCATGGGTTCGAGATCCATCTCGGAGGGCCAAAGTGGATTTTTTAAGCATTTTTCTTAAAGAATATTGTTTAGTATAGCATTGTGAATGCAAATCAAATGCAGATCAAATATAACAAAACTTAATATTTTTAAAGTATACGTTTGTTATCATTAAACACGTTGATAAGATATCTGGCGCAGCTTTTATTTATTTGAATCAGTCATTACTTTGCCTTGATTTTACTATTGAGCTGTAATACGGCTGTCGCATATTCGCCATGTTAAGGACTCTGCAGACCCGCATACCGGTGCTTGCAATCGGGAAACGTTGATATAACAGATAAAAATACTTTAAATAAAAGTGTTCCATCCATTAGGTGACATTTTTGTGTTAATATTGAGGAAAGATTTAATTATTTGTATTGAATAGGTAATTCCGAAGTAACAAGATCGATTTTAAAAATTCTCTCACCTATGGTTATATGGTACCCGTATATGGTTGAGGCTTTAATTTACAAGGTTGAAGATGGGAGGCAAGCTATGTTTATTTCAAAACTGTAATGTATATGTAATGTAATTAAGTCATTTTTAAATTTAACTTTTTTTATGCAATAAAATAGAGAGAAAAAGGCAACCATTGCTAAGCTTCTCAGTACTTTGTGGTCTCACGCCGTAGGTTTGCGAAACTTCTTTCTGTGTTCTGTACCTATACAAACCGATGGCATAGTTTCTAAATATTCACTAATGCTTGAACAAAGCAAAAATCCTATATTGAGTAAATGATATTGAATTTCAATTGGTCGTAATTAATTTTATTATTCTGGAATAAGACTTAAAAATTCAATTTGTGCTTTCTGAACGGGAATATTTTCTTAATATCAAATAATCTTTGTTTTCCTCGAGAACCGAGAGCCGAGGTCGTAGGCATTCCGGAAATTTTCATATTTACTGCTAGAAATATGCAGGTATGAAATGTTTACAGTATAAATATAATATCAAAACGGAGAATTTCTTTATGAAGATCGGAGGATCAGTAGCGCGAGCGGAGTGAGTAAAGTATTCACCGTCTCGCGACGTCCGCCATCCCGGCTACTTTGAAAAATCCTATCTTTGGATATTCTTCTTTGCAAACGTGATTTTCCTTAAATAACTTGAGCATAAAAAGTTACTAAAAAGATGCCGGGACAATAGTACGAGGCAATTTGGAGAAAAGACAAGACACGTCGAAAATTAAGACCTCCGTGGCCGAGTGGTTCGCACGCCGGTTTCAAGTCGTCATCTTAATGGTTCTTGGTTCGATTTCCGATTGGGTCAATTTAGGTTTTTTTATTGTTTTGTGTCTGGGTGATGTGGAACCTTCTTTTTCATTGCTCGGATTAAGGTACATTTACATAGTACATCGTCATCTATTAAGGTCTCTACTGCTGGCGCACACGCCTTCTTTATGGATGGAATCGAATAGGGTGGATAGGTCATACAGAGCCAACGAGCCTTTGAAAAACTAACCAACCACCGGGCCATCGAGTTCCTTAATTTACATAGTCTAAATGGTCCTATTTCCAATTCGATATTACATTTCCATTTCACACGTGATCCGTTAGAAACACAACACGTACAATTCACATGTTATAAGTACTTAAACTGACATCGTTATTCACTGCTAGGTTCTGTGTTTCATGCTAATTTAATATCTCATATCAAGGGTGTTCAATTAAGACAATTTGTCCACGATTGCTTCGCTAATAGGAGTATCATAATATAGTTTTCTCGGTTTCAAAAACTAACTCGACTTCTATTCGATATTTCCTTTCAGTTTCTTACTTGTTACGTCTCTTGTTTTGTGGGGCAAAAGGTAAAAGTGTATTTTTGTTTATACAAGTTATGAATTATAATTAAAACAAATTTTATAAATATCATGGGTGGTTTTCACAAAACAAGTCTTTCTTATTTTTATGACTAACTCTTTTCCCGCGACTTTGACCATGTATATTTATAGCCTATGTCACCTGTGTAGTAGGTGAAAATTTTTTCTTGATTGGATCAATATTTCCGAAGATGTTCAAACAATGTTTGAAATTTTATCTTTTTTTAATATTAGTATGGATATCAATAGAGACCTACCTAGGTTACAAAATTACACGACACCGGTACGATCGCGGGATATACCTACACGTACTTTATTTTAAAATGTTATGACGAATATGGACGCATTATGTCTGAGTCTTGCTCTTCTTGATATAGCGACTAGTCGGAATAATTATTGATGTTGAAATTTGCGAAAGTTATTATTTTTTTTCTCCTTCTCTCGCTTTATTTACCGTTCATCGTTGTTATTATTGCATAAATTTAACAGCACAATCTGTATTTTTTTTCAAATTGTTCAACACAAATATAATTTTTGTTCCATAAATTGAACAGAACTGTTTCAATGTATAGAAGGAAACCTCATTTCTCACATTACATATTACTATTTCCTCTCATATACGCGTTTTACAACAACAGAACGTTGTACCAGCAAGGTTCAATTACAATTCTGAGTGACTAATAAATTCTAGCGCGGTCGTTTCTCATAAAGGGCGCATGAACGTGCGATAATTAAAATAATAAAGCGGCCGGGTGCGCATTGTGCGCGTATGACAAGTGTCCGCAATAAAGGCCCCTCGGTGGGGTCCCATTCTGATGTTCACTGAGGGATTGCATAGTGTTGCTAGCTCACGATAAATTATTTCACCATAGTTCGATACCTAAGAGCTACTAGCTAAATCAAATTCGACTGACACTAGCTAAGTTACTAGCAACAGATACACTAGAATTTAGTGATTATGAAATAGAAATTACGAAATAAGTACGAAGAAATGTCATCACAACATGTTTTCAGTACTAGTCCAGGATAAAAAATTTAATAGAATATAATTAAGCTTTCTTTTAAGGAAATACTAAATATATCAACATTTTTAATAATAATTTAATACAAAGGAAATACATATAAAATATTAAATTATGCCTATGTAAAAGTGCTCAATATATATATCAACTACTAAATTTACATGTCTATAACTCTACATCTACTGTCACTCGAATTTAGCTAGTATATCGTTAAGCTGACAACACTGGCGATTGCGATGTGTTTTTAACATATCCCAGTTCAAAAGGGTGCGCCTCGGGGTCGTAGATATGTTGTCTGTCACAAGTACGTGTTCAATGCATGGGGATTTGTTTATACTTTTATTGCCGACGCTATTGTTATAATTCAATGTTAAGTTAATAATGAATAGACCGCTGTTGACAATGACGACTCTCACTCTAGGTATTTTCATAAAGCGCTGTCAATTGTTTCTTAGTTTTTTAATTCATCTTCAGTTTTCTTTTTAGATCGTAACTTTTTTGAATGAATTTTTCTCTCTGTAGCTATAAAAAAAGACAGAATAAATATGCCTTGCAGAATAATATTCTATCTTCTCATATGTTATTTCTAGTTGATTTGTAAAACGATAGTATAATATAATATATATAAATGTCTGTTATAATATTGAAATTCTATAAAAGCATACAATTCTGGGTTTGGTCGTTTAATGTGAGAAATAACTACTTATATTATTACAGTTATTGTTACCATATTTCTATTACTTCATTTGATTTATTAGGAGAGAGCACGTTTTCTGATTGACATGAAAACAAAGTGACGTATTCTACAACAAGGAAGGCTAATGTAGGCCACAGAACTCAGAAAGACGTGTGGGAGTACAAAAGCGTGTTTATTTATAGA